AGTTTTTTGAAAATAGTTAAAAAAAAAAAAAAAGATTTTAAGATTACCTATTAGCAATCATTGTCCCCATCTTGTAACATGTAGCATCATGTAACTATTTTCATTTAATAGGGGCAAACAAAATTTGTTAACAGTTTACTTACTAGTAAGCAATTTTTAAAAAATTTAACAACTTATAAAATGTACCCTATATTTTAAAAGATTTAAAAGCCAAGAATCCAGAGTATACTTTTGTTGTATTAAAATTTTATTTAAATTAAAAGCCATTACTGAAAGCAACACTATACACAAAAATTTAAATAGCCTTTTGCCAATTCTGAAATAAGTCAGCTGCAGTATTTTTATATATACTTGAATTTCAAGAGATTCCATTTTCCTTATATTTACCTTTCAAAATTTGATGTTTCTGTTTCTCCTTCAGCCATGGTAGGTCTTGCAATTTCCTGAAAAGATTAATAATACTTTTCTTTTACATACATAGCTAAGCTTAAAGAAGACTATGCTTAAAAAAAAAAAAAAAGAAGACTATGCTTATTATATTAAACTTTTAGGTAAAAGGAATGTAAGTGTGCAACTTACAATTAAGAAATAGAAAAATAATTTTTTAAATATAAAGTATGTGCTAGAATAATTCTCATAAATAAAAGCAGGATTAAAACAATTTTTTTTAACCTATAAGAATTTCAGTGTACCAAAAGGTTCTGAATCAAGGCCAAGAAGCAGTTACCCAATTATATCATACTTGCTTTCCTTAACCTCTATTTCAAGGGTGGGACATAATTACAACTACTTGAATAGAAAACTAGCAAAATACAACTTGAATCTGAACACCAAATATATCCACAGTATTTTATGTAAACATATTAAGTACGGACATTTAGATAAAACATTTCTGAATTTATGATTTCATAGTTAGAGTCATCGTAACTCTTCCACTGTCAAACCAAGAATATGAAACCAATAGACAAATTAAAAAAAAATCTGCTTATTTCAAATGTTTTACAAGGAGGAGAAAATACAGTAAAACCTCAGTAAGCCAGAGGCCAGCCTAACAATTTATAACAATTACCAGTTATTGAGTACATATGATGCATGAGGCAGTATGTTAAGAACTTTACATTCACTATCTCATTTAATCCTCATATTAGATATTATAAACACCATTTTTAAAAATGAGAAATAAGATTGAGGGGGTTAAGCAGAGAATCCAAGGCAATACCACAGTAAGTGGTAAAGATTCAAATCTAGATCTAGCTCTCGACCACTATAGTAGATTGACTCAAGCCTGTGAAATTGATAATGGTGTATTAACCACACACATTTATCTCCTTACCTCCCCAAACCCTGCCAAAATTAGGGCAAAGAAATAAAAGATTTTCACTCATAAAGACCAAGAAAACAAAATACTAATTGCTAAAGAGATTTGAACAAATTTTCACAAGATGGAAAGTAGTTGGAGGAGTTGTAATTGACTCAGCATTATGGAGGAAGTTACGACAAAATGTCTGCAGTGGAGGAGTGTAATTAAAAGAGAGTTAATTTGCCCAGAGAACCTAAGACATCTGGTATTTGGAGGAAACTGGTACAATATCTAGTACATAAAGCATAAAAATGATGCACAGGGACTGCTGGTTAATCTAAATGCTCCTTCCCCCAACTCACAAAACATGTACCTATCCCTTCTCCTCCCAAAGAGGCTACAGGTTAACTTTCTGAACTGAAGACAGTCTAGACTTGTGAATACCAGGAACAGCAAAGGGCAGGTATGAGATACTGAAAGAAAACAGAAAGATTTAGTATAAGCTGACATACTGAGTAGAGAGATCCACAGTCCCTCTCCCTGCCTGGCTCCCAGAATGCCAGCAGCCAAAGGACTCATTTTCCATCCTATCATCCCCAGCTAGAATCTAAAGGATTTCTCTTTGGAGAAAATTATCAGCCTGAAAGAAAGATTTCCCATAATGACTTTGGAGAGCATCCTCCTCATCAAACTAGTCAGTCAGCTCAGCACCTGATTTTCCTACATTGAAGTCTAAACAATTCCCATGCTGCTTGTGCAGGCCGTACACTGCACAAATCCAGAAGGCAACCTTCACATTGAAATTTACATCAGTGGTCCTCCAAGTGTGATACATGGACACCTGGGGAATCCACTCCACTTTCAGGAGGCAAGTGAGGTCACAACTCTTGGTACATAAACAGTGGTGAGTAAAAATGCTGGCACTTTAACACAAATCAAGGCAGTGGCATCAAATTCAAATTGTACTAGTAGTCACTGTGTTCTTCACTACCACATACAAGCAATAAAATTTATTTTATTAAATCACAATCTTTTAGTTCATATCTTTTCAATGTTTTGGTTGACAAAATGGAAAGTTACGCATAAAGCACCATTGTTGCATACTGGAAACAGGTAGTTCTGTGATTGAGTTGAAAGCTGTACTTAGCCACATGTTTTCTTTAATGGAACCACATTTTTATTTTGAAGAGTAACTATCAAACTATGGATATTTATACTTGGGAATTTGTTAGGCATTTTCTTGAAAATTAAGAAAGTGAGCCTGTCATATCAAGGAAAATAATGAAAGTATTTGTTGCTAGTAATAAAAACAAGAAAAATTATACTTCAGGAAAACTCACATCAACCACTGATTAGATTAATACTAACATTAATAGGTGTGACTGCTTGATATAATATAATGAAATATGTCAACACTGGAAGATCTATGTAACTTAGTGAACCAATATTTTCCAAATGACCAATGCACAATGTTACAAAATAGTGTATGGATAAAAGAACCATTCTAAATGTAAAACAGACAAATAGATTTTGATGTAACAAAGTGCAAAAAGTTCAGTGATACGGAGTCAAATTCCACAGTTCAACAAACAAATACAACAACAAAGTACTGGGTAAGGCTAGATATTCCTCAGACATTTCAACCAAAACAACATATCACAGCAGACTGAATAGACATAAGAATCCAGTTTTCTTCTGTTAAGCTCAAGATTAAAGAGATATGCAAAAGTGTAAAATGGTGCCATTCTTCTTACTAAGTTTCTTTTGTTTTGGACAACAGTTATTTTTTTTTAAATGTATGTTATTTATGTTAATATGTAGTAGGTTTATGATTATTATTTTTGGCAATTAGTAAGTATTTTTTAAATTTCACAATTTTAATTTCTAATATGGTAAACATTGATAATTTTTGAGGGTACTAAGCGGTATATAAGTATCCTCTGGAGTTCTGCAGTACACAATCTGTATGGCTATGCAAGGTAGCCCTGTTCCCATCCAGACACACAGGGTTTTCAATGAATTTTTTAGGCTCACTCTTCAATTATGTATGGGCAGCCAAGGATCACTACACAACTAATGATATCCTTTAACATGAGAAAGATCAAAATAAACAAAAAGGAACAAAGAAAGGGACTTAGAGACCTCAGAGACATTGCTGGGAACAAAAGAAAAATATATATGTAATTAATATCCCCAGAGAGGTATGTTGTTTTACCCATTAACAAACAGCAAGAAACTATAAAAACATAATAATTAAAGAACAAATAAAAAATTAAAGAGTTCTTCAAAATTACAAATATGGCAACTAAAGTAAGTAATTAAGTTTAGAAAATCTTTTCAAAAAGATGGAACCAAAAAGACAGAAAGATGGAAGGCATGAAAGAAAATACCATACAATTAAAGGAGTTGATGATTCAGAAGGCCCAATATCAGATGAATAGAAGTTCCCAAAAGAAAGAGAACAGAGCAAGAAAAAGTTAATTTTTTTTTTTTTTTTTTTTTGAGACAGAGTCTCACTCTTTTGCCCGGGCTAGAGTGAGTGCCGTGGCGTCAGCCTAGCTCACAGCAACCTCACACTCCTGGGCTCAAGTGATCCTACTGCCTCAGCCTCCCAAGTAGCTGGGACTACAGGCATGCGCCACCATGCCCGGCTAATTTTTTCTATATATTTTTAGTTGTCCGATTAATTTCTTTTCTATTTTTAGTAGAGACGGGGTCTCGCTCTTGCTCAGGCTGGCCTCGAACTCCTGAGCTCAAACGATCCGCCCGCCTCGGCCTCCCAGAGTGCTAGGATTACAGGCGTGAGCCACCGCGCCCGGCCTAAAAGTTAAAATTTACCAAAGAAATAAAACAAGAAAACTTCCCCAAACAGAAATCTCCAAACTGCAAAGGCTTGTCAAATGCCTACCAGGATGAATAAAAAAAGGATGATGGGTGAACATACGAAATTTCAAAACATCAGGGATAGACAAAATCATTAGAGTTTCCAACAAGAACAAAGTAACTAAATACCAAGAAACTGGAGCGAGAATTGTTATCAGACTGAACAAAAACAATACTAAACATAAGAAGATAGTGGAACAATATTTTAAAAACTGCATAGGAATTGTTTTCTATGTACTTCAGCCAAATTATCATTCAAGTAAATATATTTTTAGATATGCAAGGACTGAAAAAAAATACACTCTTTTTGTGGAAGCTAATAGAGGGTACAATTCATCAAAATGATGAGTAAATCAAGAAAAGAGGAACTCAGGGTTCAGCAAATAGGACATCCAACACGAGAGTAGCAAAGGAAAATTTTACAAACTATACACAAGTTTAGAGAGCAACCGGTGTAAACTGAGGCAAGGGGTCTGAGAGGAGATCTCCAGACCCTCCAACAATTTTCTTTTGATGAGTGTGAATGTTTGGAAAAAATATTTCCAAACATACAGAGATAAATTGTGACATTTTTTAAAAACAGCATTGGTACACAGAAAACTAAACAAGTGAGTAAAAAAGATATATATTATTAACTTCAGAAAATTAAAACAAGGTATAGGAAAGGAAAAGAAATCACAGTATACTTTCTGCCTCAGCATATGTTATAGTCTCAAAAACTGTGATGTAGCTATGCTGGGATCAGTGCTGTGCCAAGCTATACTGGAGCCTGAGGCAAAAGGAAAAATGTGTGCCCCTATATATAAATTCTGTGTATCTTTCAACTTTTTGCCCCAGAACATTAAAGTAGTAAAAAATATTGAAAAACTGAAAAGTAGGTGAACTGAAACTCAGAACACTAACTTAAGTCTAAACATTTTATTTCTCAGGGAGGGAAGGAGGGAGGAGAGAGGAAAAAACAATAAACATTTTATTTCTACCAAAACCAGAATTTATCATTTTACTTTCCTGACCTTAATGAAAGGAAATATCAAGGATATATTTCTAAATCTAATTCTTTTTTTAAACCTTGTTTTCAAATGAGCAAATTGTCCTGTTTGAAAATTTCTCTTGACCAAGTGACAACCTCAAAAATTTTTAAATTAACTTCAGTTTACTAAAACTTATGCTGAATGCTACTGTGGCTGGAATTGTTTAAAAATTCTGAATACCACTTCCAAATCTGTATAAGATTAGAAAAATATGTTAATAAGTTTTAGAAAACTCAAATCTTGATTTTTATATTACAAATTATTGACATTATATGTTGCTTTAAACTATTTCATATGAAATTTCTATAGAACTTAAATC